TTCATGCTTGACCTAAAGAGCTTCCAGCATAGTAAATCATTGATCTCAGGAAGGTTATTTAAGCAGAACAAACAATCAAAACCCCATAATCCTTATATTTTAAATTATCTTTATTTATACAGGCTCATACTCTGTGTGTTGATAATGGGACTTAGCAAACCAACATCTCATTGTGTTTTATATAGTGTTGCTTTTGAGTACTTCAGCTTAGCTTCTCAAGGTGGGAAGAAGTACGCTGATGTAGTAGTGCAGGTCACACAAGATTGTTGAGGGCTTCTGTACAATAGGTGGTGACAGAGATGGTAAGAGTGGTGGTTGTAGAACAGAAATAAAAGCTCTGAAACGTGACCTGTAAAATAAAAAAATGCAATGCGTGTGCCTGCATGCATGTATTCTCAGGGATTTAACTCAGCCATCTCTTGTTACTTAGATATCTTCGTGATAGTCAGAGTGTTATGCTAGCAAAGTAGTTCAGCTTTTGCCAAAATCCACTCACAGATTCAGTGGCCATTGTCCTGCAATACTTTAAGCTCTGCTCTGCTTGTCAAACTTTAACCCTCTTGCATTTTCCTCCTGATGATTATTTTCAATGGTAATTTAGATAAGCTGGGTATTTGCTTACCTCATGTTGTCTCCTGTTTGAGTTGCTGAGAAGAGCAGAATGTTTTGTCTTCCACAGGCTGCGCCCCAGTGATAACATGATGTCCCCACACACAGCCCTGCAGTCTACAGGGTTTTATGATAGTTCAGTGCCAGAAGTCTAGAGGAGATCATTTAACTGTGCTATCCTAACAGAAAAGGTATTTGCAGCTGTTGGTGAGGGTATGCGTTTTAAAACTCTGAATCCAGCGGGTTTGACTCACGAAAGTTATTGGGAAGAGGAGAGCATTTCTGCCGGCTTTGCAGCAGCAGCTCATCCTGCGCTGCCTGAGAAGTTTCTTCACTGCACCTATTTGCAAGTTTACCTATGTCTTCTGTCTCTTGCACTCTGCCACTCTGTTGTTAGTTCTGAACCTCAAAGCCCGGAGCACGAGAGGGCCTGAGGGAGTCCCACCTCAGGCAGAATACTGTAGAAGTAGATGGAAGAAAAAAGTCTCTTGAATTATTTTGGTCATTAATTTGTATAAAGTTAAATCATATTCTATATGCTTCTGATGTTAACACTCATTCAGAAACAACAAATCTCTATTTAATCTGTATTTTTCTATCTTTGATTGTTTTGTTTCTTTTGCCCTAACTTTTAGAGGTATCCAGTGAGTTTGTCATCCTCTAAAACAGGCAAAAAATACATCATATGAGAGCAAATGACAAATTGCTTTTGTGCTTCTTCATTGTATTCCTCTGTGGCTTCTTTGGTCAAATGTTAAAATTGCAAGTTCTTAATGCCTTAATTTGTATTTTCAAGATGCTTAGTGCACCTCTTCAAAATCATAAATAATTACTGTGAAGTGTATGATAGGCTTGATGGTCTGTTACTGTGATAACTAATAGCTCTGGTTTGGCAGACACTTCCGAGAGCAGCGGTGTTTGTGTTTGCGTGACATTTCTTCAATTTTTGCCTAATCCAAAGATTCATTGCATTCCAAGCATAAAGCATGGCATTGCATCAAAAGAAAAAAAAGTTATATTAATAACCTCAGGAATGTTTGGGGGTGCTTTTCTAGTGGCTACTACGTTGCTTCAGAGGTATTTTCTTTCCCTTGTTTAAACAATCAACTTTAAGGTTTTCAGACAGTTCATTCCAACTGATTGAACTTTCACATAAGCATGTAACTCTCCAAAGATCAAAAATTGCCTCAGGATATTTTTAATTTAATAAAGAACCTAGCTGACTACAGACTTATACAGACTGCATAAATCCCAAACTCCAGAATCTAATAAATCTAAAACTTTTTAATTAAAAGTGGAGATATCTTGATTTAAATAAAGCGGAGTCAGACATGTCTTTCTGTCATATTTTGGGGGAATTGCCATTTAGCCCCGTGAATAGCCATTTACAGTAAAAGGGAGAAAAGACTGAATAAGTGAGCCAGGGATAGCAATCTTTTAATTTTTCGGCTGTCTTGCTAGAGTTATCTGTTCAAAGAAAATATGACATCTCAGATGAGGACCACCGATGGGTATTTTGCAAAAGCGTAATACATTTGACACGTTTTAATCAATCAAGTACAGTTAAGAAGTTGCTTTAACTGTTACCGGAAAGCCTGTTAACACCCCAGAAGACAGGATAGCGAATTTTGTCATCTTTTCTTAGAAAATAATCCTCTCATATTGTTTCTGGGAGTTCACTTTCTTTCTCCCGCTCATTCTAAGAAGAACCTAACTTTAGAAATATCTCCAGCAGGATTTAAATGCACACTGAATTATGTTGTGGAGTAGGGATGACTTGTTAAGTTGGAGGCATGGGCTGGAGATTTGAGGTCCCTCCCGCAGTTCATTTTTCTTTTGACTGTGAGAGTCCTGGTCAATCACTGTAAATTGTGCGGTTATACCAATGAATAACACAAGAGTTTATAGCAGGTGGGGTTTGGGTTTTTTTTTTTCAGTAATCGTCCAATCCCAAAATCTATGAAGTATTTTCTGTGTTTTCTCATCCAGCCCTTTGAAGTACTTGCTCAGTGCTGATCCCACTCAGGCAGTTTAGGGTTTCAGCGAACACCGAAACAGATCCATAGCAAGCTGTGAGGGCTGGCATTGAGGCGTCACTCAGCAGCGTGTCAGGGCACTCCTTTGCCTGCACATGGGCTTTCAGAGGCCAAACCAGCATTCCTAATGGTGATCACCTCAAGCTGTCCTAGTCCAGGGTGAGTCTGGACATCAGCACTTTGGCAGGAAGGAGCCTGTGTCACCTCCCCTGTTGAGAAGCACCTGGATGTACAAAGGATATACAAAGACAAGGGTGACAGGACTGAATGGTGACAAGGAGATAAATGAGACTGAGCTTGGCCAGATGGCTGGAAAGTGCTAGCCATGAACTGTGAGGAGGAGAGACTAAGGCTGGAAGCCATCATCAACAGCTGGTGTCACCTGAGGGTAGAAGATAGCAGCGAAATCACATGAAGTGGGACTGGTGAGCTGGCTGGCTGTGGGACAAAGCTGAGATGAATGAGGAGGGGGAAGAAATGGGACTTGATCTGATCAGGTAGAAGAGAGAAAACCAAGAACTATTGTAAGGAAAAATGGGGCTCGATTACAAAGAGAGAAACTAAGCAGACTGAAAGATTGCTTGCTATGTATTTTCTAGCTTCCAGTAGCTTGACTGCAACTTCACTCTTTCTAAGCAGAGCTTTGTGATGTGTGGATAATACTATTACATTACGTGCTTATTATGTTTTACACTGTTATAGGTATTTTTGGTGTGTGCGCATGCATAATATATGCAGTAGTGTGGTAGGCTGCAGGGAGTTCATAGTACGGACTATGAGAACAGATCTTTTGTTTGTACTCCCTGGTAACTTTTTTTGGTTGAAATAATTCTTTTGAGTAAAGACTACAGGATGCGACCCATTGAATTATCGACACTTTTTGTGCTAACGTGAGACTTGGAAGAGAATGGTTAGCTGGCATCCCATGCCATGGCCATGTTAATGTCAGTGTGAGTTCACAGTAGCAGAGGATTAAATCCAGTGTCCATAAGCCTGGCTGGTTGTTTTCATATTACACTGGAAGCCTGAAGTTGTCTTTAGTTCTCCCTTGCTTTTTTTTGCTTAGAAAGTAGCCAGACAACTGACATTTTTACACAGAGTAAGGAATCAAGAATTCAATACATGCGTTGGAACTCACTGTGGAATACAGATATTTACTGCTAGCAAATAACAGAAGAGGACATAATAATTTTGAGGAGACTGCTCATACAGAAGCATTGTTATTTTTACAATAAAAGCTTTTTCAAGCAATTAAGAAAGTGTTTTTACTCAATTCTAGTATTTATGTTGTTAATGGCGTCTTTTCTTTTTCAGAACAATAAATCTAAATAGTAGTTTACTGCAACAAGTAATAGAAAGAAAACGTGAAGTGCTGTGCATCTTGAGAGAAAAGATAATAACAACTCAGAAGTGTACGATATCTGAACATATCCAGACTGAAGAAAAAGTCAGTGGTGTGATGGGATGCAGTAGAAAAACAGTAAAGGTAAAAGATATTAAAAAATCTACAAGGTATATAACATTTGCAGATTATCTGAGAAGAAATTACGCTTTCTCATGATAGATTTCAGAGTATTTTTCATGCTTACTTAATATGTTGAACTCTCCCAATTGCAAGAACTCACTGCACTGTTTAGTTTTGGAACCTCAGAAAGGTAAAATATTTTATTCCGTTGTCTCACTGGCAAAAGATGCCATCTTTTAGTGTGAGCCTCGAATATGGTTTCCATCAATACTGTCAAATTGTGATTCAGTTTCTGTGTAGATTCCTGCCTACAGCAGAACATAAACCAAACATATAACAGTTTAGTGAAATCTGAAGAACAAAAAGCATTGCTGAAGCATGTGTATTTGAAAACCGAAGTAATCATTCATCAAAAATGTTTGCAGTGTTTTCTACTGAGAAGCTATTTGTTTTCGATCATGGGAGTAGAGATAAAATACATGATGAGGCTATCTGAAAAATTGCCTATGAATTGAGAGGGAATTACCAAAGTCAAAATATATGCTCGTTCATTGTAAGTTGTTTTTTTTTTTTTTTAAAAGCTGCAGATGAGTCACTTTTGTCTCCAGTAGCAGAAATCTGGGAATTGCAGTTCAACAACCCTCTTGTGCAAATGCTACCTTTCTGGTACCAGTCTTCAGCTGGGCAAAAGGGGTGTCAGGATAGAAGAGGGCAGGGCAGGATACTGGAATGGGTACCCGTTTCCTAGTGACACAGGCAAAAGCTGCACCAGGAGCTTGACTTTGTACTAGGACAGTGTAGCTAAGAGTTTGAGAGCTGCTCTTGGTATTGTGCTTCTACCTCGCTGCTCCATCTATTTCCTTTCATAGGTGTAACCTGTGCTTTAGTTAGACATCATGGAGAATAAAGCACATTGTTTCTCTGTATTTGTTTCCCCTTAATTCTGTGTTCAAGCTACACAATAGCTGAATCAGATAAACAGTGAATAAATCTGTCCCCTAGGTTTCAGTGAGTGAAAATGGAAGTATGCTGAAGGATTCTAGTGTGATCCTTGAAATTCCTCCTGCAACCACTATTGCCTATGGTGTAATTGAACTCTTTGTAAAACGCAGTGGCCAGTTTGGTAAGTATAAAACTCGTTTTTGGTGTCACGCAGTTCAGTGTGGACAGAGCTGTCTGTTGTGCAATGATGTTTGCATATCCCTGTGTATGAAGGTGATGATCTTGTGTGGTCTCCATTGTCTTGATAGTTATTTGTGCTGTGAAATGCTGCTCTTCTGATTTAGTAATGCTTTTTCCCTTGTTTGAATAAGAAGTCATAAACTCAGAATAACTTAGGTTTCAGGGGACCACAGGAGGTCATCTAGCTCAAGGCAGGGCCAACTTTTGAAGTTTGATCTAAGTTCAGAGTTTGATCAGATTGCTCGTATCCTTATCTATTGAAGTTTTTATCATCTCCAGAGACAGATATTCCATCACTCATTTGGGCAGCCTGTTCTTCTGTTTGACCACCATCATGGTAAACTTTTTCTTTTTCTTCCTTCCTAATGAGATTTCCCTTTCTTTAATTTGTATCACTTGCCTTTTGTCCTCTCATCATACAGAAAAGTCTGGCCCTGCCTTCTCTTCGTGCTTCCATTGGGTAGCTGTAGATAGCAATTATGTTCTCCTTGAGCAATATTTTCTCCAGGCTGGATGACCTCAGTCTCTCAGCCTCTTCTCATACACAGTATTCTCCAGCCCCCAGCAATCTTGGTGACTGTTAGATTTGCTTCAGTATGTGAATGTCTGTCTTGTACTGGGGAGTCCAAAACTGGACACAACACTCTGATTGCAGTCTCCCAAATTGAAAAATCATTTTCATCGATCCACTATGTACAATCTTGTCAGTACAGTCCAGTATGCAGCAAACATCAATAGCTGCAAGGGCACACTGCTGAGCCTCTCAAATTTGTAGTCCAGGTCTTTCTCTGCAGTTTTGCTTCTAGCTAGCTGGCCCTCAGCCTGTGCTGTTGCCTTCACCTGTTGGCAGGGAGAGTGAACCAAATATAAATCAAGGGTCAATGAGGAATGTTTAGACAACAGTCGTGCTAAGAAAAGAATTATGTGTAAAGTATAGGACTGGAATTTAAACTTTTCTGTCTATTTTGCACTTTCAAATATAGATTGTTTTCTGAATGGTTGCAGAAATGTCTTTTTCATGTTTTTTTGGTTATACTTATTTCAGGCTGAATACTTCCAGGTGTCAAAAAAAAAAAAAAAATCTTGCAGTTGGCTTTGGGGGGAGTAGTAACTCTGCTCTGCAGAATCACCTGGGTTTTTCTTTCTTGCCTATCCTCAGTTAAACTCCCTGACCTAAAGGATGTTTCAGGGGATGTTATGCAAGAAGGAAACAAATCAGATGGACTGTGTAGAGCTGGAAGTTGGAGAGGATTTATGTGGAGAGAAACAGGAGATACATTGAAGAAATAATTGAAGTGCAGTTGAGATTTAAATCCAGGATGCACCTTATTTGGATAAGAAGTGCAGAACATACTCTCCATCATTCTCCTTCAGCTGACTTCTGGTATTAAGGAAGTCTGTAGGTTCAGGAATATAAGTAAATATTATGTAACCTGTAAACCAAAATTCTGCAGTGTGTAATAATTGCTGTGACGTAGACTGAACAGAGAAATATGCCAGAGGGCATTGACTTCATGGTCATAATAGAACTGTAATTCAGAGTAATTGGGTGCAATTAAGGTTAACTACCTAGGTGTGTGGCTTGATAGCCTACTTACGTGATTTCTAGATGAAAATTCCTGTGTCCTGCTAGCTGATAATACCTGGGTCTTGTTAATGATCTGTATTTCTCTGCTCTTTTCCCACTTCTGCTTCTTCTTTCACTTTTTTCCCATATTTAATGTTACTTCTTTTAAGCTTCAAAACCAGTACAGCTTGTTTCATGATTTATCTCAAACAACCTATGTCTTGCTTTTTTTTTTTTTTTAAATTTGTGCTATCCTCTCTTGCCTGAGTGTCATTGAGTAGGTAAAGTGGAAGAACTAACAACAGAATTAGAGATTTGCCAGCAAGAATTAAGTATGGTGGAGCCTAACCTTCAACTTCTTAATGTCTGAGCAGTCATCAGTGTCTCTTTATGGAAATAAAAATAGGCTTTGAAGTTAAATACAGAGACTAATGTAGCTCTTTCACATGAGACTGAAAGTGACCAGTAGCAGGTGTAACATAATGGGATTCTCTTCATAGATAATTACAGAATAAGATGCATGTAAGTTGTTTGTTGTTGTGTTGTTTTTTCTTTCTTGTTTCTTTTTCTTGGCCACTGACACTGCTTAAGTTATTTTGTAAAGAAGAATGGTACATAAACTTTATTAAAAATGTTCTGGCTAGTTTGACTGGACATTCTTGGACATTTTTATAAATTAAAAAAAAGAAAAGGTCTGATCCTTTTCTAATTCCTTTACCACAATGTTTTCCTGTAATCATTGTGTTTGATTTCTGTAGGCTAATTTTCCACATTTAAAAGCTGTTCCTGTTAAAGGTTTTGCAGTTCTGTGTCTCTAAAGTTTCACTGCAAGTCCTCTTGTTCTTGCTTTACAAAACAGGAGGCATAGTAGCACTTGGCTGATTTGCTTTGGTCTGTTCATTGCTATGTACGATAGAATTCAATAGAGAAAACATCACAGTATTATGTATGTTCTTTCATTCACTTCTTTTCCCTTCTCTTTTTTTTGAGTATCACAAAATTAATGAGATACAAAATTAGTTAACAGTCCTATTAATACAAAACTTTTCAGAATCCTGAATTTTCCTCTGAATTGAGTCCTATTACAAGATTTATCAGCAGACTCTGTATCTCTTAAAACTTTTCACATGATGCTGTGTATTGGTTTCCCTTATTAGCATCATTCTGCCTTAGGAGGGCAGGTAGTTTATTAGCCCACTCTTGTTCCTTCAGGGTTTGTGTGAAAGCATTGTTACCATCAATGAAGGTAACGTGAGCGTGTTGGCCTTATGGTGCCTTGGCTGCTGTCCGGAGTCTTGTTGCTTTGGGAATTTCTTTAATTTGTGTTAATCACTTTTTGCTCCTCTGTAGCTGCTCTTCTCTGTGAAGGGTTATGCAGGCATAAAGGTCTCTGTCATCTTTCTTTCTCTGTGGCAGAGATTTCTTTGTCTGCTCTCCCTTTGAAAAAGCTTTTTGCTGATGGAGTGCTCTCTGTGCTTTCTCATCTGCTTTGAATGTCCTTAATTTGGTGAGACAGACTCTTAAAACTGCAGGAAGGTTATATTTAGGTTTTTGTGCCTGGTACATGTGAGCACTGTGCTTGATTGCTTTTTTTTTCCCCCCCTTTGCTGTCAGATATTACTTTAAAATTGAGTTTCTCTTGCTAGCCTGCCTGTGTTCTCAGACCTGCTGCCAAGTGCCAGGGGTACAGTTTCAAGTCTTACATTTGAGCCAATAAAAGATGATCAAAATATGCATCGGGCTTTGATTATATTCTGCATCTTTGGGGCACAATATGGAACACATGAGCACAGAACTTGATATTCCAGATTTCTCAGCATAACTCTTACAAAGGCTCCCTGTGTACCTTCCAGGAGTCCCTTAGCTTCATCAAGTTGGGGGTTATTGGGGTGGGAGGAAATCAACAGTCCTGCTTGGTAGAGATAGGCCAGTGCTCATCCTGAAGACGAGGCAGAAAGGGTAATCCAGCCAGGGTGTGTTATTTTCTCCATGAAGTTATTGCAAAGAGACAGTGTGTTGCAGAGTGAATTCTGTTCGTGAAAGTGCCTGGGTGAGGTCCTTCAGAGACTCTGAAAAGCCCCCTATTTTCCACTCATCTGGAGAACTTGAGGATGGACCGGTGGCTTGGCTGAGAAAGAGGAGTCTGTCAGTGCCATGATCAGAAGGAGCTCTGTCAAGGACTCTCGGTGTTCTTGCGAATCTCAGAAAGTGCTTTCATATGTCTCCATCATGAGTGGATCCTGTAGCCCACATTACAGTGCATCTCTTAATTGGTAGAAAATGTGAAGAATTCATACCCACATCTCTTGTATGCAGCATCTGGGTTTTCAGTGTCGATGAGAAGTTTTCATGTTATTTGCTGTCTACATGAATTCACAGGAGTTGGTGTCACATTTTGTAGTTGGTAGCAGTACCACAGGACCTTTGTGCGCTGTACCAAACATCAGGGCTGCAGTAATGCTCAATAATTCACATACATAGCAACCATTGCAATTCTTTCTATCTAGAAGAGATGAGACATGGAGAAATCACATGCGAGAACACTAGATAATATAAGCTAGCATCTTGTTCAGTAATTGCTTGTTTATTAATTACTTTTTTAATTGAATTTTTAATTACAGAATTCTGTCTGCTAGATGAACAGCAAGGAGGTTTTGAAAAAGAAAGCACAGAAGGCTCAACTTATCCCCATTCAGCACTGTTCCGAGATGCTTTGTTTCTCTATCAGCCAGATGCTGTCGATAATGAGATGTACTCTGAGGCTAAAGACCTCATTCCTAGTGATGCTTCTTTAAGTGTGCTGAAACAAGGTATTACCAGAAATGCTTTACATTGTTTACATTACAATGAGTTAAGCAACATGATAGGAGGAAATAACCTGGTACAATAGTACATAAGAAATTATGTTAGGTCATTTTAATAGCCCTTATCAGGAACTTTTGGAGGAATGAACTGAAAGAATACAAAAATTTACTTCTGCAATAGGTGTATGCAGCAGACTGTTCCCTAGGAACATCCTGAATCCCTTTGTCATAAATATGATCTTACAAAATTAGTTTTTTATGCCAGTTCTGTTACATTCCAGATAAGCACCATAAGATTAGTGATGGTTTATGCTTTCATTCAGAAAGGGTCACTGAAAGTATTCTTTCATGATTTGGAAAATACTCTCCGTAAAGCTTCTCAGTTAAAGATTATTTGAAGTCTCAAAAATTACTAAGACATCTCCCCTGCCTTCAATTAGCCTTCTTATTTTCTGAGAAACTTTATAGAAATCTTCGGTATCAACTAAGGCTTACAAAATAAAATGTGATTTAAATGGAAGGTTGCAAATTGGTATAACGAGCCAGGCACACCTTCTTTATTGTAGGGATGTGGAAGGAAGGGGCAGGATTGTCGCCAGAGGAATAAAAAAGGGGAAAACAAATTAAGGTCTTGGAACACACTTCACTTTTCATCAGTTCTTGGTAGAGTTCTTACAGCCAGTTCTAATGATGAACATCACTTCTGTTGTCTCTGAATTTCACCTTTTGTTCAGTAGACTGTAACCAAAATAGATATTTGTTGTCCTGAAATAAATTCTGTCATTCTCCAATGTAGACTTGTTTGAAAGGAGTAACTGTTCCTCCATGTTATTTCTGAGAGACTGGTGTGCCACTGTTTTGTTTTTTGTTTTAGCTTGACATACCTTTGTGCCTTTCTTGCTTAAAAGGCTTGGAGGTTTCTTTGAATTAATTAACCTGAACTATCTCTTGGAAAAAAATTTTAAAAATGTTTCTACTAAAGCAATTTAAAGTAGGTTTCCTCTTCTGTTACTTGTATAAGCAGTCGTACAATTGCAGCAGGTATAAAAAATATCTGCCTGTGGCTGGGCTTTTTTTTTTTCTTCTTTTTTTCCTGCCCCAGTGAAGTAATTTTTAGATACAAAAGGCATCTTTAAAGAGAGCATGTTTCTTGACCGGAGTGACATGAAGGGAAATTTCATTTAAACAAGGTTAAGAATGCTTCCATGCCCATATTTTTGGAATGTGGAAAAATACATTCCAACCTTCCAGTTGGCATTATTGACTTGAAAACTTATTTTCTTTTAGCAAAGTGGTAATTCGATGTCATAAAACATTTTGGTTTAGCGTTGTAGTTGAATTGTGGAGAAAGAAGTGTAGAGAACACTCTTGTGCTTCTGTTGTATGTATTGTAATCGATTCAGTATTTCAATCAAGATGACATTTTTGTCCTGGTTTTTGTAATAAGTCTTTTTTGGTCAGGGGTGAAGGGCTGTAATTCTTTGATGCACTCGATGAAATACGAGGACAATAAGAATTTAGCATCGCAATAGGAACTTTTAGTTCTGTGTGTGGACTTATACCATTGCCTTTGTAATTCCCGTTAACCTACAGATTAAGTAGTAAAGTTAGGAGCAGAACTCTTCATACTGCCATATAAACGAACATTCTCTGGAGATGAACTTTCAAGTGAGAAACTTAATATATGGTTCAGTTAACATCAAAATACTGACTTGTAAAATATTAAAATATTGAACACTGAATGTTGATTCTTGATAGCTATTCTTTTTTCTCAGAATTTTCATTGATGCTTCATTGGCTCATTAGGGAAATACAATGAGAGGTGTTGCAGCCTTGCATTATAATGTGTGCTGATTGAAATTAGGATGTCAGGATGTGGTGATAAATAAGCTTATGAAATGCATAGCAAAAATGTTAACTGTTTTGACTGGCATTTGTGTAGAAATACTTAGTTTTACTTTTTACTGCTTTCTTGGGAAAGATCTGTCACGGTTGAAGACTCAGTTCCAGCCCTTTGTGAAGCTGCAGGAAGACAAGCAAAGAGCTTTATATAAAACCCTTTGTGAACTCTTGCTCCGTGAAGAAATGGTAACTGCCCTGGAGGACATGGTAAGATGAAGAAACTTTGGCTTGCTTCCTAAAAGTAATTTCAGGATACAGCTAGCACTCTCTTTTGTTTGAACTTTTCTCTTTTCAAGAACTTTTACTTATCTTTTGCTTCCAGTTAGATGCTATCTGCACAGGAGACAAGCCAGATCTGAAGGAGTTAAAACCTGCACAACAAGGAGACCTCACTGACTTCTTGCAGCTCTTAGGTTACAGTTTACAGAGTGAGCTGTTGCAGAAATATCAGCCTCAGGATGAAGAACTCTTCTCAGCTGCTCACCTGCTCATCAGTGCTATCTCTGGTATGTTGTGAATGAAGAGAAGAGCCTTTTTTTTATTTCATTTTCCTTTTAGAAGCTTCCTCTGTATTAAAGTGTTTATGGCTCGTTTGGTGAGCTGAGTGAACATAATTTGTTCTGGTCCTTTCTACGGGTTTTGTGTACCATGCTTAGCATTCTTGGCTGTGAATTAAACTCAGCCCTCGATCACTGACAGATTTTGCTTGTAAAATACGCATTTTCCCCAAGATTGCTCAGCTCTACTTTCTGCTGAGTGTGGGCATTTCCAGTTTGGCAAGCTAATTTCTGTCCTTATTGCATACCAGAGTTCTTCCCGCCTAAATCCTGAGAATTACAAATTAGGTGGTGTCTTCAGCGTAACAATGTTTATTGTCGAGGTACAAACTATATTTAGCAAAAATGAATGTAACATAGAGACACTGCAATTAGAGGGTTGTTTTGCAGCTGCTGAAAAAGGAGATTAAACGTAAATGTCAAACAAATGCCATGCTCACAATCTAGTTGGCACCACAGTGTTAATTAAAAGCTACCTGCAAAGTCCAAGACAGGCTCCTTCTTGGCGTTTCCTCCTGTCTTATACAAAGAATTTCCTGACATTAAGATAATGAAGGGAAGTCCAGTGCAATATTACTTAATGTGGCACGGTGCAGCAAAATGTCAGTGTGCATCCAGATACGCATGATACCCAGGTAGGAAAGCTTAACTCATTTGTGGAGACAGAAGAGAAATAGTAAACAGAAACCTGCTGATGTGCTAACACTTGTCAGATGCTATTAACAGCAGGGCGCAGTTAATTGAGTGTGTTGCATTATCACCTGGCTTTGGACATAATGTCTACTGCTAATGTCCAAGCGTAAGTGCAGCTGGATCAAGAATCAAAAGCTGATTTATGCCTGTTGCTTCTGTTAGGAATTACAGCCTTGAGTTACAGAGCTGACGGGCACCACAGGGATAATTTGGTCCATCTCCCTGCCCCAAGGCAGTCTCAGCTCTGTCATTCCTCATAAATCGTGTTTTTGCTGAAGTCAGTATCTCGTATAGATTTTGAGAGTGGAGGTTCTTGTTTTATTTAAGGCCTAAATCATTCATCCAGCCTGCAGACTCAGAGTGAAACACTGCGGAGACAAGACACTTGGGGAGGAGACAAGAATGATGGGGAGGGAATCGCCTTTCCTATGAGCTGCCTCTTTTCAGGAGCAGGGATAGTCAGTATGGGGCTTGTACCTGTTGCCCATCCCACTTTATTCTGCACTCTGGGAAGCAGGCAGGAAAGGGCTGAATCAGCCTCTTCCAGAGTTCCAGCAGAGCACTTGTGACAAGTGTCCTCAGCATTGGAATCGCTTTGGTCTCCATTTCACGAGGTGCTGTACTTGCACATGGGCGTCAAAAATGCAGCTTGTCTGTCTTTGCTCAGCAGGAGAACCCTGTAACAAAGTTCACTGTTAAGAAAGTTCCCTTTCCAGCAGCCAGCCTGGTGCAGTGTTCACTGGAAACAATCTTTCCCTTTTAATGTTTCCTTCACAGAGCTGCCTGATTACACTCTCGTCCTTCTGCGGGCCTGCTGTGATCTTCAGGTTGTTCCGGCATTGTGTTGTTTGGTGAGTAATCAAAATGTGACTGTGTAGTGTGTGGACCCCAGCAGCAGTAATGGCTCTGTTCTCTGCCTTACTGAGTTTCTCACCCAATTAAGAAGATGGCAAGCTCCAGTGTGAATTTCAGCTGTAGGCATTGCTTAGGCACCGTCAGAGTCTGACAATGGCAAACGATGCAGGTAATTCACTGCAGGTGGATACCTGACTTCTACAATGCTTTATGTATTTGGGAGATTTCATGGGCTGTGAGCAAAAGAAAATTGTAACTTAAGCTCAAATGTTAATTTACTAATAGTCTCACTAGCCCATTTTAAAGTCTCGGTAATCACCTGCCCTTGGGAAACAGAAATTTCAGTTTGATAGCAGCAGTGCTTGGGCCTTGGCAAATTCCGAAGTTCCAAAACTCTGAGGCCATTCATGAAACTGCTGAAGCAATGTGGGGAGGGGCTTTTAAGCTTTTCAAACTCACTGACAAAAATGATAGTAAAAACCTTTACATATGTAGGGCAAGGGGTGTACTACTCTTTGCTCAGAGTAAGAGTGAGAGTTAAGTGTGATCTGCAGTGAGAGAAGTTGGACTGGGGGAAAGGGTGCGGTAGGAGAGGTGTTTCTCCTAAAAGGGTGCCATAGAGCTCTGGTTCTGGATGAGTACGTCTCACTTGTCAAGGCTAACAGTAAAGGGAACCTTGCCCTTTTGCTGCTGCCTTGTAAGCTCTCCGGTGGAGAGCTTTTCCTTTTGTAAGAAGGAACTGAGCTGTGCCATGGCAGGAACAGCAGTGCTTGGAAAACCTTTTTAATGTCTCTGTCTTTTGCTCTCTCATAAATACAGCCTAACATCGCTTCAGCCGATGGCACCGTGGCGCTGAGCAGTCCTTTGGTGGCTACTCTCACTGACAGGGGAAGATTCGATGTCGTGCAAAGGCTGTTTGCTTCATCAAACATTAATTTGGAAATGACAGAGTCTTCTGTAAAAGCTGTAACTATGAAAGAACCTAGATTCTTCCCGCTTGTTCTTTATGTTGCATTATATGGATTTTACGCATTAGCTGGGAATGTATAGGAGCTTTGCTGCATATCCACTTACTGCTCGAGCCTGTTCTTTCTTCTGTAGCTCCGCAGCGTAGCATTGGTGTGTTTGAGCTAGCAGTACAGCCACATAGTCGAGTACTTCCTGCAGTACAGCCAGGTGGTGCGGAGGTCTGGGTGGACTTGGCACTGCTGTCAGGTGTGCTGCTGCTCTGCAGCGTCACTAGGGTACGTCTGCAGTGGAAAATATATAAATAAGGGGTGAAGGGGAGGAATTAAAAAAAAGACAAGCCTGGAACAGAAATTGAACACAGCTATTCTGGTAGTTGTCAGATCTGCAGGGCAGTAGAAGCCTGATTGCTTGTATTAATATGCATGGGAGAAAACTGCAAAGCTCAAACTGCTTTTTGTAAGCAAGCAAACAAGCAGGCTGTGGAAATCCAGGGTTCTGCAACGCAGGAAATGTTTTGGTCATTTAAGACTCAATGTGCAGAATGCCTTTACTCTGGAGCAAGTGGAATGGAGGGCTCTCAGAGAGGTACTTGATTAGGTTTTAATTTATTAAGTGTAGTCTGGCTTTATGGATGTGAACTGCACACTGCAGGAAATAAAACCTATTTTTCAAAAACTAAGATCACCTTAGAGACTTATGCCTCTCTACAGCGTTTCTGTTTTCTGATAAGTTTTTACTCACAGCAAGTTTCAGCTGTTTAAATTGCATTCTGAACTTTCTCTTTGAGGTACAGTGATGCCTTTTGGTGTGTGCACATGAAACGTCCCTGCTGCACTCCACACAAATAATCATTTGACACTTTAAGCGCAGATGTTTTGCTTGTTTCTTTGACTAACAGCAGTGTTAGTAGACCACTTTGTACTTTGAACTATTTTGCCTTTTTTTTCATTGTAATGTTTTGTAATCACGTGGATGGGACAGAAATGCAACAGAGATCAGTGTAAATAAGGGCTTGGGAAGATGATGGTCCAGGTAATGGAATATCACTGCTATCAGATGAGATTGTGAGATGGCTGACAGAGGACCAGGCAGGCACCTGTGTGGGGGGCGATCAGTCAGCAGGCCCTGCAGTTGAGCTGGTGGGTAGGAGTCCTGGGTTCAGTTTTCTGCTGTGCTCCCGTGTGGCCTTGAGCAGATTGTCTGAGGCCCATAAAACCGCATCGGTTCAGCTTTCCCTGAGGAAGCGGACTTTGCAGAAAAGCACTGTGGTACCTTTCTGTACCCTGAGAGTGCAGGACGTACCCCGAGAGCCTTGCATACTGAGCTGTTGGCGTTTCTGTCTCATCTGTTCCATGAAGGTGATGGCGTTGCCTGAACCTTGCGCCGGTGCACGTGGAAATGGCCTTTAGGAGGATGGAAGCACCTTACTCTGCTTCTGGGAGGGATGTGTCTTTGTAAAGGGGAAAGTCTTCTTTTGCCAGTCACTACTCAGAAGTTGCCTCTGTAACTAAGCAATTTATCAAAACAAACCTTTGTATTAAATGTTATGTTTAAACAATAGAATAACTTATAACCTCATACATGTCATTTCCATTGTTCTTTTTTTTTGGGGGGGGGGATTCCAGTCATTCCCCTGGCCTTGAAAGATGGTGCACACAGATGGCAAATGGGTATGTGGGCATCCACGTAGTGCCACTGTCCACGTGCTGTAATCTTCCTTAGAGCTGTGGCGTAAGCCTTGCGCACGCTGTATCACGTATCTGCTTTCAGGGTGTGCGTGTGGTCTTGTATATGTAGGATAGGGGATTTGTTTAAGGGGGAGCGGGGAACGGCAGACCTTAGGTGTTCTATAGAAACATCATTAAAAAAAAAAAGGTTTTGTTTGTTTCCTCCTATTTTGCTTTCAGATGTAGAACAGTCTTTTGCTTCAGCTAAATCCACTGCACAGGTTCAGGCTGAGTCATCTAAAGGTTGCCAACACCCAGAAAGGAGGAGTGCAGGGGGAGTGGGGCCTCGGCTCAGGAGGACAGAGGCAGGACTTGGGGCAGCCTTGCACTCCCATGACATGAGGCACTTGGGCAACTGGTGGTGTGCCTCAGGGACCCCCCCGCTTGCTGCCAGTCATGAGGATGGCTTGGGCTCCTCCCTTATCTGCTGCCATACTTTGAGGATTGATCTGCACATCTGCAGAGCAACTGGTGGTGTGCCTCAGGGACCCCCCCCGCTTCCTGCCAGTCATGAGGAAGATGCCTGCCCCCCCCGCCTTCCATGCCAGTCATCACCCTCCCTTATCTGCTGCCATACTTTGAGGATCAATCTGCACAAGCCACTGGTTGCACTTCAGTCTTGGCTTTGTCCTTTCCGTGCTCTCCGTGGAGGGGTTTCCCAGCTTTCCTCCATCTGGCAGTGCTGCTGAGACCAGCAGGGAGCCTCGGGTGGCCTGTCTAGAACTGAGCAAGCAGTGCAGCCGGGGAAAAAGAAACACTAAGGCAGTTTCTGTGTTCACCATTTCCCCCCAGTTCCTTCTGTGCAGGATCCTTATGCACATTACTATTAAAAATAGCTCAGGCTGGGGAATTGAAGATCCAAGGGAACAGCAGAAGCAATCTGTCCAAGTAGCTTGTGTCCTGCCCTTCCCCAGGCTAAGTGAGGACAGCTGCTTCAGGGACCCAGCCTCAGCTGCGCTCATCCTCATTAATTCAGAATCCGCTTCAGAAGAGCTGGATGTGCATCCACTGTGTCTTGGATCAACCAGCAATTTCCTGTGACAGGCTGGCCTCATACAGAAAAAGCTTTTTCAAAGTTAGATGGGGTCTTCCTTAGAAAAGGGAGGTGGTGGAAGGGCTGAAGGGTCCTTCAGAGAAGACTGGAGCTTGTCTCATAAAAGGTTTGATTTCACACCCTGACTTCCCGCCCGAAAATGGTGCTTCCCTGTGCTATACTTCCACATTCCCCAGGAGGAAGGGGGAAGAAACCACCCCAGCACAATTCAGGACCTGGGAAGATGAGGCCAGCAGGCTCAGCCCTGCTGCCAGGAACCAGTGTTCACCTAATACAAGCTGTGGTCCAGACTCCCCTGGGCTTCTGTATGCTGGCTAATTACCGTGTGGCCCCAGAATGACTCCCTCCATGCTGCAGCACTCAGGAAATAAGGACCCAAACTCAGGAATGACATTTACAGGATGGTTGAAGAGGCCCCAAGAGGTCTATACACCAAAAAGGGATTCAGCACATTCAAGAACATCAAGCTAAACAAGCCAGACTGAGGTGTTTCTTTTCTGAGCTCTGCGCAGTAAATAAGGCTGAAGGTGCGATTCCAGCCCTGTGTGAGGCCTGCTACCCTGACCAAACCAAAGCAGCGCGCAGTGAGCAAAGCCCGACCTGCGCAGATGAGGTGGTCAGGGTAGTACTTGGTACTAGCCCACTAATACACTGGGGTACGGGCAGGAAGTACTTCACGTGTGTTCATGTGGAGCCCATTTTCAGCTATAAAGGATTAGGTAAAGATAAAAGGCAGATGTGTGCAGATTGCTCCTTGAAAGCTTCTTTATATCTGGCTAAAACTCAGAGCATGGCCAAAAAAAACCCCACCAACCCAAAAAAAGCTAATTACATTTTTTCAATATTAAATCTTTATTATATACAAAAATATTTTGTTGGGAATTAACAGAATTTCACAATTTGTACATTAACACTTTTATGTTTGGCTGTGTTTATTGTGAAAATATTAGCTGTGAAAAAGACGAGGGGTTTTAGAAAACAAGTCACAATTTAAAAATGTCCTATGTACTAGCTGACTTGATCAGTATGAAGTCAGAATGCTAACAAGTCCCATCTCCTAGGCCTGCTCTACAGTATTGTATTCAAACAACAATTACGTACTAAATCATCTTCAGGTTTACATTAGAAAGTTTAGCTAAGAGTTAGGGTTTTTTGGTAGGATGTTTTCAGCTAAAGAAAGAGTTTTGTTTTTTTTAACAGGAGAGCAGTTTTTAAGTTTTACAAATGTGAAATCCAGTTTAATTTCATATGCTGTAGAAGAAAACAAACCACAAGAGCTTCCAGTAGGCAAAAACAGTTGTAAGAAGCAGCAAGGTAAGGAAGTGCACAGCGACAGACTTCTAATTCACATTTACAGCCAAACACTTCACCAAGTTAAAAGTTTACAGGGATTTCGGAGTGGGAGAGCGGCAAATTTTATTGTATTTTAAAACCTAAGGAAGCAGTGGCCCTTCTTACACTGCAGTATGCCGATGTTACACCCAGGCAATATATGATAAGGGCGTGGGGGAGGGGAAGGAATGCTCAACATGCATTTTTCAAAGGGGGAAAAATACACGTCAACAGTTTCCTCCATATATTGTAGAATCACAGAATGGTTTGGGTTGGAAGGGACCTCAAACATCATCTAGTTCCAACCCCCCTGCTGCAGGCAGGGACACCCTCCACTAGAGGGTTCTTGCATACAAGAACTAAACCAACAAAAATCAGTCCAAAAACATTTTGCAAACAACAATTGTGCTGTCCCCCTGCCCTAAACGGTGCCATACCCTGTGCTCTTTGGTACGTATCATGCAAGAGGGCAAATCACAGAGAAGTTAGTTACGGTTTTGGAAGAGGTTTTTAGGGTATTCTAGGTAAATGTTGGCTACTTACAGAGTAATACTTGGGTCAGGCGTGAGGACAGCCAAACGTGTGTGGGCAAGCATTAGCCAGGAGCTAATGACATGAAAAGGATAAATGGGAGAAAGCGTTTCCAGGATGCCTTTCACTATTTTAGCCTTGCAGGTCGGTCGGGAAGTATTCCACACCCAACCACTGCCTTGGCAGCAAAAGGAACTCCATATCCAGCTATCACAAGAAAGGATTAAAAATTTTGAGAACAAAATTCACATTTACTTTAAATGTAACTTATTCTATAAAATACAAATATTGCTGAGACCCTGCTTTAAAAAAAATTCTGTTTGGAAGTGAAACCGCTTAGCAGCCTTCACCAAGCTGGAGTTTATTTTTAAGCCTGTAGAGGTAAATTCCAGCTGCAGTACCAGCAAGCGAAGGAGAATTCAGCTGCTGAACGTGTG